TGTATTTAGAATTTAAGGATGGAAAGACGTTTTAAAATCCCCATACATTTGGAATTATTTTTAAATCCCCAATAATTTAAGATTCCAAAAAGAAATCACAATAGGGTTTTAGCAATATTTAGAACTGAATGATATTAAAATAACACATTTCAAAATGTGTGGAATGAAATTAAAGTCATATTCTGAGAGAAATTTATCCAAAAATACTTTTATAATGAAAGAAGTGTGCTATATATTAATAGGCTAAGTATCCAGCTTAAAAACATAGTGAAAGAGGGCTTCCCTGGTGGTGCAGTGGTTGAGAGTCCGCCTGCCGATGCAGGGGACACGGGTTCGTGCCCCGGTCCGGGAAGATCCCACATGCCGTGGAGCGGCTGGGCCCGTGAGCCATGGCCGCTGAGCCTGCGCTCCACAGCGGGAGAGGCCACAACAGTGAGAGGCCCGAGTACCGCAAAAAAAAAAAAAAAAATTGAAAGGAGCAGCTCTGTGTGGACAAATGGTGGGGAAATGAAAAGAAATTGACTACTGTTCAAACAACCTGCCCACAATCTGAAGTGTCACGCGGACTTCCATTACCACATGAGGCAGGCTTGGTGCGCTCACCTCCCCATCATTTATTCAGGGGAGTGAGTCATTTGTTGAAATCTGAAACCTCTCAGAAGAAAAATACATCTGCAGGGGTTGCAGGAGGCTAGGCATTGCTTCTTCAGTACCTGAAGCCCAAAAGGACCAGCTGATTCTTGAAGGAAATGACATTACATGTGCATCAAATTCAGCTGCTTTGATGCAGCAAGCCATGACCGTTAAAAACAAGAATATTACAAATTTTTCAGATGGTATCTTTATCTCTTAATTATTTTATTTTTGGCTGCGTTGGGTCTTCTGCTGTGCACAGGTTTTCTCTATTTGCGGCGAGCAGGGGCTACTCTTCGTTGCGGTGCGTGGCCTTTTCATTGCAGTGGCTTCTCTTGTTGCGGAGCACAGGCTCTAGGCGCACAGGCTCTAGGCACACGGGCTTCAGTTGTTGTGGCGCACAAGCTCAGTAGTTGTGGCTTGCGGGCTCTAGAGCTCAGGCTCAGTAATTGTGGTGCGTGGACTTAGTTGCTCTGCAGCATGTGGGATCTTCCTGGACCAGGGCTCGAAGCCGTCTCCCCTGCATGGCAGGCAGATTCTCAACCACCGCGCCACCAGGGAAGCCCCTGTGATTGTTTTTAAATTACAAAAACAACCTCATATGTTTTGAAAAAAGTTTTTTTTCATTCTGCATACCAGCAATGAGCGATCAGAAAATGCACTTTAAAAAAGATAGCATCGGCCTCTTGCCTTCCCAGATGGCCCACACTCTATGGAATGTGTATCTCCCTGAATAAACCTTCTTTCACTTTACTATGTCTTGCTCTTGAATCCTTGCCTGCACAAAGCCAAGAACCCACACTTGGCGGCCATCCCAGGGACTCAGACATGACTTGGGATGTGACCATCCTCTCGCACCCCACTCTCTTTCCTGCAACATCTTTTCTGGCACCCAATGTGGGGCCTCAAAGGCCATAATCTCGATCCGCCTATTGGGCTATGGCTCCCCTCTGAAGGGTGGCTGGCACTTATCCTGAGCCATGTAGATTCAAGTAGCCCGTTAAGTGGCAGCTGACGTCTCCTGCAGGATCTGGCAGAGACCAGTTCTCTGGCCGTGAAGAAACGCACTGAGGCCAAGGCTTTTCCCCCTCAGTCTTTCTCATTCTCCTATTGCTCTACCTCTTTGGACTTGAAAAGATCCACCCAGACGACCACCAAACACCCAAGTTAAGACTGCGCGGCAAGTAACTGACAACTTGGTTGGGTCCAGAGAACTCCTGCCAGGGGGCTTATCTGGTGGCGCAGTGGTTGAGAATCTGCCTGCCAATGCAGGGGACACGGGTTCGAGCCCTGGTCTGGGAGGATCCCACATGCCGCAGAGCAGCTAGGCCCGTGAGCCACAACTACTGAGCCTGCGCGTCTGGAGCCTGCGCTCCGCAACGGGAGAGGCCGTGATAGTGAGAGGTCCGCTCACCACGATGAAGAGTGGCCCCCGCTTGCCTCAACTAGAGAAAGCCCTCGCAGAGAAAAGAAGACCCAGCACAGCCAAATATAAAAAAAGTAAAATAAAAAATAAAAATAAAAAAGGTAGCATTTACAATAGTAACAGTAACTAGTATTGAGGAAGAAAAATAGCAAAAGATGACCAAGACCTGTGTGAAGGAGTTGTTCCTCTTTCCTGAAAACATTTTTTAAAAGACTTAAGTGAATAGAGATATCCATTTATCGTGGATTAGAAGACTTAAATTCAAAAACAAGTACACTCTTCCTGAATTGATCTACGGATTCAATGTAATTCCAATCAAAACTCCAACAGGAGTATTGTTTTTGGAACTTGACAAACTGACTCTAACATTTAAATAGAACAACAAAGGGCCAAGGATAGCCAAGACAACTTCTGAAAAAGATTCAGGAGAAGGTTTTACTCTGTTTGATACCAGGACTTACGTTTGAGTTTATAGATTCTGTTGACTGTAGACACAGTTCTGACTCAGGGACTATAAAATTGACCATTGGAATAGAAGAGGCCACAGAAAGAGGCCCACCCATGTATGGAATTTTGACGTATGGCAAAAATGCCATGGCAGATCATCAGGGGAGGGAGCGAAGGACTATTCTATAAATGAAGGAAGGACATATATAGATCAACACTGCACACCACACACAAAACTCAACACCCAGTAGATGAAGTCTTTAAATGTCAACAGGAAAACAAAATTTTTAATAGAAACTATACTTGAATATCCTTCTAATCTTAAGATGGGAAAG